TTTAGGTCAGATGACTCACGCTATCAGTTGTTCCCAGGACACAGAGAACACATTTGTCCTAGCAAGAATCCTTAACAGCGCAACTTCATGGTGTGTATACATCATGAATTGCCACGGGGTGGGTTTTGACGGGATCCCTCGCAGCTATGTCCCTACAGGACAAGTTAAGGTATCGATGTGACACAGCAGATATCAGCCTCCAAATATGAGCAGTTGTTATTTAGACGGGGTTTCCACCCCCTGTTCGTATGTGGTGAATAGCACAGGGGCCAATCACTTCCTCACGGGGACCAGGATATGGATCCTCTGTCTTTTTTGTTTTATGAACCGCCCTTGACGAAGTGCGGGGGGGGGGGGGGGGGGGGGCTTGAAGCAAACAAAGTCATGGTTGGCAGGGCGTCGCTGTTCAGCGAGTACGTACATACCCACAGTAGGCGGCTTGGGTGGCTTGGGCGGGCACTTGGGCGGGAACGAGGGGACAATCGAGGGGCTGGGAAGGATCGGTGCACGGGCCCTTGCACCTTGCAACATGGGCAAGTACACATGTACACTCTGGATGGTCTTTCCGTCCCAGTCTTTCCTTTCCTGCACCTGCAAGTAATAAGCGCCCGCCACAGCAACCGCGGGATCCACTCGGTTTGGTCTCAAAATGGCAATGGCCCCCAGCGAAGAGTGCAAGCTGCTTCTCAGTCAATTGAGCCTCAACTCCATCCAGCCTGCATGTCAATGCTGGTGATGACCATCCCACTGCACGTTGAGACTCACTCGGCTGTCCCGTTTCCAATTGACTACAGATCTGTGCCATGTTGCTCATGGTCGGATCTTACTGCTGTTGTCAGTCACATCAGCAGCGCAGCCCACCCAGAGGCACACGCACATGTCACGCCAGCCCTGAGCTTCCCGTCCACCGGGCAGAGCCACGACTGTCTTGCACACGAGGCCGTCGACAGGAGATATGAGTTGGGAGGGCAGAAGATATGATGGACAGGCAATACAAGGCACCAAGAAGAATTGTCGTTGACGGCCCACTAGACAGCTTTTCACATGCAATGACGAGTGCCCCAAGGTCCCAACATGGCGCCTGGAATGACATCACTTCCACCTCACACCTGCCTTCTGTGCCTTCACAGTGGGGAGCTCTCTCCCCCTCTCCATAAGCTCTCCATAAGCTCTACCACCTACCGCGTGTACCAAGTGAGGTAGAGGTACTTGCGCTGTCTCATCGACGTCAATTGCACCTTGGCGAGCACCATCTTGGCTTCGAATGAGTATACCTGACATGTGACGCCCTCGATTCTCATCCTTTCACATCCTTCCACGCCCTTCAACCCGAGACGCACTGCCTTCATCAACCTGAGCAACACCGACTGCCACACCGTCCCAACCACTCCTCTCCATCGCAGCAATGGACCACCCAGGTACGCTCCCACCGTCGACCCTTGCGCAGATCTCCCGCGCCTCCCCCCGTCGCCTGCACCCATCATCACTAACCACCACGCCCCCTCCCCATCAGTCAAGGAGATCCGCCCCATCATCAAGTCCCTGACCCAGGGCACACCGGCCGAGCAGCAGCAGACTCTCGAGACCTACTTCACCCCCGACGCGACCTTCGCCCACCCCTTCTGCCGCGTCCCCTCCATCCCCACCTACGCCCTGCCCTTCCTCCCCGACACGCCCGTCAACTCGCGCCTCGTCATCCTCTTCATCTACCGCTGGTACCGCATCCTCTCGCCCCGCATCGACGTGGACATCAGCTCCGCCGTCCACGACCAGAAGCAGAACCTCCTCTACCTCCAGATCACCCAGGCCTTCACCTTCTTCTTCCTCCCCGTCTACACCCCGCGCATCCGCCTCACCACCGTCCTCCACCTCGACCACCGCCCCGCGCCCCACGACGCCCACACCACCGGCGGCCTCCTGCCCATCCGCGCCGGCGCCGGCTCCCCCGGCCCCGAGAACGCGGCCGTCGGCTTGCCCGCCAACGGCTCCGCCAGCTAGCTGCGTACTTCATCACGGCCCAGAGGACCTCTACCAGAGGACCGAGTGGCTAAGTTTTTCGTCTCTGAAACGGGCCCGCGGCGGACGCCTGGGAAGATCTTTGCCACGTGCCTGATCGTCACGGAACGTCGTGCTGCGCCCGTAAGGTGACTTGATTCCGAGGGCGAAGGTCATGGACAATGATCTCTGAGCGA